CAATTTGTTCTTTATAATATTATCTAAAATAATTTAAGTTACAATATTGCAACATATTTTCATATAAGTGACAAACTCCATTATGGTGAATTGCACTAAGTGCCATACCAATTTATATTTACAATTAGCCTTTTCTCACATAACTTGGAACTTTTGTTTCAAGTGAAATTTCCCTTCACAAGATTGTGTTGGGAAAGAAATCCACACAATGTCTACAAACAAGAAAAAGAAAATGTAGTGAAAAAAATGTCAGGATTTAATGTGGAAATACTTGAAATCTGAAAAAAAAAACTCGAGCCACACAACACAAAAAAATTTACAATGAAAATTTAGAGAATTTTTACATATCTCTTCCTTTCACACTCTCTCCTTATTCCATACACCATTCTCTACACATAATAAATAAAAAGACAAAAATAAAACTAACCAAGGGGCACAATACTTCAAGTTAATCCAGAGAAATGAGAAATAAAATGTCCAGCCCCACTAACAACAATGAGTCGCTAGGTTTGGAGTGCCACAAGACTACAATATATGTCTCTTGTCTTACTAACCAAGTAATTATGTCAAAAATTGGAGTGTTGTGATGTTTCTCTCTTTGTCTATCTCCAACCCGACTATACAGCAACATAGTGTTGTACGGGAAACCAAAAAAAATTGGGTAAGTAACACTAGAACACAAGCACAGTGTTAATTTTTTTCTTTAAAAAATTACAAGTTTTGTAGTGAGAAAGATGCAAGGATATTCTAACTTTTCAACACTCATCATTAGTTGTAATGTTCCTACTTGGTCAAATATAGGTCCACATCCAACAGTCGACACCTTTCAACGAAATTTGTTTGATAGGAATGAAATTAATTTATAACTTTATCACAAACTAAAACTTAAAAAAAAAAAAATCAGCAAGTTGGTAATATAAGAACATGCCAGAGCAAATGACATTTTTTTCCTTCTTTACAGGCCAAAACACTTATTTGATTTGTTCTTCTACCATCTAATCCGGCCTTATAATAATGAATTATATTATAAACTAAATTCCTAATAACCCCATTATGCGCAATAATCCACCTCTTATAAAGCCCCACCTCCACTTGGCTTACTTCTTTAAGTTATGCTAAGTAGAGCTTCAAAGTTCTATTATCATGGCGACATCTTCTTCTCTTCTCTTATATTATATTTTTCTCAATTTCTTCTTCTTTTTTCTTCTAATAGAAAAGATTGTTCTTGTATCAACGCAAAAGCTTGCTGGAGAACACCATGTCATTGACGTCAAGTCACTGTTACTGAGCAACTCCTGCTCCTTGCCTAATAAAAGTTTGTGAGCAATTTTAATAATTTTTAATACCCAATTGGAAACTTATTTTTTCATAAAATAATTAGAAAAATAAGAAATCATACAACAATTAAGCTCATTTGATAGATATCACAAGCTTAAATGTGATGCAATAGAAAAAAAAACTCAATACATACATTAATTAGTTGTTCTAATTGTGACAGGCACAAGCCCTTCCAAGTTCAACCTGGTCTACTTGCATGGACTATGCTCATCCTTGATGCACCAGGACAAACCATCACATGTGGAGCTCCTCCGTCAGGACCGAGCCCGAGTAGACTACATCCACCGCCGGGCATCCAATGCCACCGCCCACCTAAATCCTATTGGTGACTCTCTTTCTGTAAGAGTTCCAGCAATCATCGATTATTCTATTAGTCGCTATAGCTTTATCGTCAACATAGGCCTAGGCAATCCTACCAAGTTCTTCTCATTTACGCTTGACACCGCTAGCGATCTCACTTGGACCCAATGTGTCCCCTGCGTTAATTGTTATGACCAAAAAAACCCATTTTATGACCCAACCCAGTCCTTCAACTTCACCAACATCCCATGTAACTCTAATTATTGTACGGAACTCACTCGATTTGGTTGCTCCTCTACCTTCACCTGCCTCTACGAAGAAGAATATATCGACTATTCTAAAACTAACGGCTCCCTCCTTAAAGACACCTTGCACTTATCCAATGATATTATTTATGACTTCATCTTTGGCTGTGGACATAATAACACTGGAAATTTTGAACATGAAGATGGGGTATTAGGTCTTGGCCGGGGGCCTATTTCAATTATTAACCAAACACCTCAATTGTATAATAAAATATTCTCATATTGTCTACCATCAAGGCCAGATAGAATTGGATATCTCGAACTAGGTAGCTCAGTCCTTGGTGTGAAGTATACACCAATGCTAACATACCCAGAAATGCCATCCTACTACTTCCTCAATCTCACTGCCATTTCAATTGCGGGTGAAAAGCTCGCCCTTCCACCTACTATATTTAGTGGACCTGGAACTATGTTGGACTCTGGCACAATAATTAGCCACCTGCCACCCACTGCTTACTCTGCCCTCCGCAACATTTTTCGTAAAGAAATGAGCAATTACCCAATGGCGCCACCACTGTTCAATCTTGACACATGTTATAACTTCACTAACTACCCACAGGTGGTGGTGCCAGAGGTTTCGTTGATCTATGATGGTGAAGTGATAATAAACTTAAATTTCATCGGGATATTTATCATGTTCAGTGAATCCCAAGCATGCTTAGCCTTCGCTGAAAATGATGATGATACTGACTTTGTGATCATTGGTAATATGCAGCACCTCACGTTCAATATAGTCTATGATGTTGGGAACTTACAAATTGGCTTTGGGGCTAATGGTTGTAGCTAGTGATGGATAGACCAAGTTGATAGGGTTAAATGCAATGTATTGATGTAGCTAAAATGAATAGTTTCCATCATGCTGGTTATGAATTTGGGTTTTGTGTGACAATAAATGTAGTCTTGTAAAAAAGTTTAATTGTGTCCAAATTTTATGAAATAATTAAATATCAAATGAAGGAAACTATGTATGAGTTGATGAAAACCATTAGTATGTGCTTAATTTCTTTATAATTAAGGGAACATGATGACATTATTTTTTGGAGGTTATAATTTTGATTATTAGAGGTGAAATGTCATATTTCTTCCCAAATGAGCTTATACTTTAAAAGAATGAAAACTGCTTGTTGTGATGTTTTTTCTTCAGTGTCAGACCCTTACAAAGTCAAATCATTGCATTTTTTTCTTAGACTTGATCCTTTTGGTTCTCATTTCGGATTCAATTTTCTTTTTTGTTATGTTCTACAAGTGGATGAGTTTAAGGCTTGTGAGTTTTGCCAACACATTGGGCCATACAGCCTAACACAATAAAGCTTAGATGCAGCCAATCCCATATTCCTTAAATATGGGGACATTTGACTAAATTAGGCAAACTCACATTCCGATCAGTTACACAGCCTTTGAACACAAGACCTCTATTTGAAACTAAGGATACCAACCAATAGATAATTAAGAGTTGTGTAATGATCAGTTATGTGATTTACATTTTTATAATTTTGAAGATTTTTATTTTAAGTATTATGCCCCCACACAAAACAATTTCTACCTACACCACTATCTATATTCATCATGTATGTGTTTGTTTATCTATAATTATTATACAAGTCTCAAACCTATGTTCTTCCATAAAAAGAATAAGTTCTAATCTCTAGCTCATGCTCCAGTAAGTGGGGCCAAAGGCATTGACATTGAAGCCCTTTCCAAAGTGTCTTAAATAAATTTTAGACTTCATTTGATTGGTGATAAAATTTGATATGTTACAAACACATTAAACCTCTATAGTAAAATAAAAGGGCAAATTAAGGGGGCATGAGTACACTATACACACTTTAATTACTTTTTTAAGTTTTTATATTTTATATAAATTAAATTATATAAATAGAATTTTTGTATAAAAAAACTAATTTAGGAACCCTCTAAAGTTTTAGAACTTAAAATTGTAAATAACTACTGAAGAACTATTGATAAATTTTTTAAAATAATTAATTTTTGTTTCCAATTAAAAAAATTACTACTCTTCCACTATCAAAGAGAAACTCTATATCACCAATAAGCTCTCTACGACATTCATTTAGAGCACCAGTATTATACCATAGCACTTATTTTGTTCTTCAACATTGTTTTTGCCAGGTCGCTTGTCCTAGATGAGAAAAGATGAGGGTTGCGTTAGGTAGTCAAAAACCAGCATAAAACTTGTCGAATAATCATGACATGAATCATTTAAATGGAAAAAAAGGATTCATCTAGACAACCCCACGTAGTGGGACAAAGGCTTGATGATGTTGTTGTTATTGTTGTACTGATTTTGTTCTTCGATGGTCATTTTGTCATTGAAGACTACTAGGACTAGGATCGTATCGTTAAGATCTTCTTTTAGTACATAGAGGTTGAACCAAATAATTAAGTGAGGTATGTCTCTTATAGGTTGAGAGATGGTAGTAGTGCTTTGTGGGCACAATTTTTGCAAATGAGACACAGAGAAGGGAAATGATGGATATGGAATTGGTATAACAAGAAATAGCTTTTGAGGGCTCATTTTCTTCCCAATAATTTTGAGCAAATACTTTACCTGAAATATCAGCATTTGTGCAAGGGGCTTGTTCTAGATGTGAATATACAGAAGAATTCTATAGGTTGAGTGCAGGGAACAATCTCAATGACTCCCATATTCAAATCTTTGTATGATATTTTGGCAGCCTAAATGATATATTATACGATAAATTGGAGCTATCTTAGGTTATTAATTTTGCATTGTGAGCCTAAATGCAACTCAGTCAGTATTCAAATTTGCACTCAACTCATCACCAGTTCGTTGAACTAGCTGTGGAAGGAATAAGTCCAATAAACACTAACTAAAATTCCTGTAGCTCTATCAGAACCAAATCACCCAAAAATCTCAACTGCGATTAATATGGATACTAACATGAATGCAAAACTTAGAGCACAAACCTATTAATTGATATGCTATTTGATACTTCATGACATGTCAAATATGTTTATTTTTGTTTACATGCTTTGATTTTAGGCTTTGAAAGTGTATATTTCCCAATGCTACCACTCAATGTAACATTTCTTAAAGCTAGATGATCATATACCTTACTTGAAGTGGTGGCCAAAGTTGCTAATACACATAGTAATCCAATAACATTTATAATAATTGATTTAGAAATAATGAATCATGGATGTAATTTATGATTAGATTAAGATAATAAAAAATCTTGATAAAAATTTTGTTTTATTTCATATCAACATAATCATATAATATATGCCTTATGTAGAGTATTTCTATGATAATCATGGAGCTAATATTTTTATTTTATGATAAATATCACTTGGCCTCAAAAACTTATAATAAGCTTTCATGATATATGTTTTGTATATCTAATATACTTTTTGAGAGAGTGGAAAGCCGATGGGAAGTTCCCTCTATTCTATTAAGTAACATTTTTACTATTATATGGAGAAAATATATTTTATCTATTTATATGTATGTCTTCATTGCTCATTTGTGATATGTATACTAGAATCAGTGCAAGAAAATGTTGGAAAATCTTAAACTGAAATGCAATGCAGCAAAGTAAAATATTGGAGGAGCTACAGAAAATGGGGGGCAGTTTTGTGGAAAGAAGCCAACAACGATGAAGGTGAATGATGATATAGATTTTTACTAGCCTACATGTGTTTGCAAATTTTATGTTGAGTTTTTATTGTATAAGAACTGGACATTTATTATAGAAGTATTTGAACATTTTTTTTAATTGAATGTATAGTTACTTTAGAATTAATATTCTTGTGCAATGTTGAAATGTTATTGTAGAAATGTTGAAATGAATTATTTTTATTGATTGTGATTGTACGAATGTTATGTTGTACAATATTTGAGGCAAGGTGAATTTTTTTTCTATGGTGTAGGTTTTCGATGTATTTTCAGCTAGAAAACCATAAAAAAATATGATATCAAGAGTTTGGTGATCTATATCTTGCAAACATTATCCTCTAATATTACCAACAGAATTCTAAAAGCAGCTTCTGCCAGAATATTTGGCGATAGGTACCGTCCAAATTTTTGGCGGTTAGTCATCGAACCAATTGAACAGATATTACAAGTGAAATTATGATGGATATTTCTATTACCCATTCCATAGGAAAAATTTGTCAGAATTACCAATAGAATATTTGTAGGTAATTTGGATAAAAATGTAGCATTTTTCATTGTTAAAATTTGTTAGAATTACCATGATTATGTCAAAAATTTGCTAGTACTTCATCAAAAAAATTTCTTGCAAAAAGTTTCCATAGCATGCTTCTTTCCAATGTGCATTTCACTGGAAAAAGGAAATCTGCAGAAAAGAAGTTTGTTTGGTGGATTCAGGACATTTTTCAGTGGTAAATGGCTGCTAGAAATATGCATTTTTCCTTTAGTGAAAGATATTATTTTGTCCTGAACTAGCATCAAGAGGCTACTTGACATCTCCAACAGAGAAAATAGAAGAAACCATGAAATTTAGATCACCCTCCTCACTCATCTTAGTATTTTCAACAATAACATCAACAGCTCGAATGATGAAAGTTAATCTACATAATAACATTTTTATCATTTTGAAGGACATTCATTAAAAAAAAATTTCACTTGAATGAAAAAATTGAACACATGATTCCTCATAGATACTTAAGCTTGTATTTCCAAGATCAGTTTGACAATATCCACCCTAAAGATGAAGGGAATCATAAGAGCTTGGAATGAAGTCAACAGTGTTGTGATAACTATTATGAGATAATAACTATTGTTTATCATTTCTCTAGTTTTAGAAGAAACATCAAAAGATACTCAAATTATATTTGATAACACTGAATTTGAAATAATATGCTACACAAATTATGATCCTCTCATCATCTTAGATTGAATAGAAGATCTTCCCACTTTTAACATTAATGTTCTAATCAACAAATATAATTATGTGGACATAATAACCCCCTTTATCAATCTTCGTATGTCTTGAGAAGACCAGTGTTAAGCTTCATTTTCATCTATATTATATAGATAATTCTGAAGGTCAATCTACATTAACTCTCACCATGATCACCCTATTAGTCACCTTATACGAACCATTTATACAATCAATGCATAATTAATGTTAGTGGATGATTGGCAATCTACATAGCAATTTTCAATCATCTAGTGATGTCCATATTCATGAAAATTTTATCTATTTTCCAATTAAATTTTAAACTCTCTCCATTATGAGGTATATAAGAAACCATCAACTCAATAAAGCAATGCGGCCACCTTTAGGAAGATAGTAAACATGTGCCCAAAACTCAAAGCCACTCCTAGCTAGCAGAAGGTAGAGGAGAAATAAATTGTAAAGAAGGGCAAGAAGAAATTCCAAAGAGCTTTCTGGGCGGACTTGTTGACATCATTTTTATATGAGGTCACTTTTAACTCCTCCCTTAATTTTAGATCCTATGATTTTCCTAGCTCCTAGCCCTTAGGCCCAATCCAGATCTTATCTCAATCCAAACCTAGAATTTTAGGCTAAAGACTTAGGTCCTAAAGCCCTTTCTGGGTGATTTTTCCATCGTCTTGAAACCCAGTCAATTGGCATCTAATTTAGGGTCTGTCAATTTAATATTGATGTGACATGTCTCTAGTATCAACCCTCTAAATGTGAGCTCATTTGGAGGACTCTAACCCCATAAACTTAATCCAACTCCAAAGGTTGCAAAACTTTCAAATATTTATAATCAATGCCACTGGATCCTTTCACCTAGTGAAATTTGACTTTGGAG